TCGGCGTCATTAAACTGCTGCAGAAGGTTTGCTTGAAAAGAGGGTCTGTTTCGGAGATTATCGACGTTTTGCATATCGTGCATTTCGTGTTGTTCAACAAGAAGTTTCTCATATTGTTGGGGAATGTTTGCAGACTGGATGCACCGCTCCTCACGTAGTGCACTATCATTATTCTAGCCATCCATTTGCTACAGTGTTGATATATTGTAGCAGTGGAGTCTAATGTTGGGCTTTGCTCAGGCTCTGCTTGGCTGTGCATGTGAGCACAGATCATCGATGTCGGACAGCGAGCGCACGAGCGTTTGGAGTCTCCCCGGTTCTGACCAAACATTGGGAAAACGGTTGCAAACTGTTTAAATTGTCGTATGTTCAGGACGAGACGCACGGGTCTGGTTCGGCGACTCTGGAGAAGCCGTTTGGTCACCGCAGGCAAAGAAGGGGGCGATGGTGGTCCGGATGACTGGAGTGACAGCAATCCCGAGAAGATCCCCAGAACGGAATACGCACCGGGAAACAATGCGGGCTCGTGCAGCAAACGCGTAGAGGAACGCGGGGAACCGGGGATCCTTATTGATCATGATGGACCCCTCAACGAGGGGAGCGAGGGCAGGACGGTAACATGCTGTTTGTTTAGAGACCTCCCCAGGGGCAAAAACAGACTTGCTTGTCGTCTAGAACATAGGAACCACAACAACTACAGCAGTTTGAGTGGCAGGGAACGGAAAAATGGTGCCGTGACCGAGCAAGAACTCAAGAAGTGCACTTATGCGTTTCTCAAAAAGTTGAAAGAGAAGTCTCTGGATGTTTTACTGGAAGCTGTGGAGTCTCAAGGCGGGATGCCAAGTGGATGTGTTCTGGTTTCACAGACTGAAGTGCGAATTGGAGGTCAGCTGGTGTCTCCACAGTACCTGCTGTGTCGACTGTTCCGCTGGCCAGACCTGCGGCTCTCCTCTCTCCTCAAACCGCTCTGTCACTGTCAGAGCTTCAGGGCAGAGGACAGCCAGACCCTCTGCTGCAACCCCCATCACTACAGCCGCATCTGTGGACCAGTCGGGGATGGTAAGGAAACCTCTGAATGTTTTTAGTCAAGGATATAATGACTGTGCTGTTCATTTGAAGTGTGTTTTCAGCCCTGCTGAAAAAAGCAGAACTTGTTTGCTGGTCTCAGTTGGTCTCCCAGC